TACTACTACTACTACTACTACTACTAGTTGCTCCGAGGCTTTCAGGGCCAAGGTCGCCTCGGGTGACTCGGGACAGAGAGAGACAGAGAAAGAAAGAGAGAGAGAGAGAGAGAGAGAGACAGAGATACTGAGAGACAAAGAAAGAGAGAAGAGAGAAAACCTCCAAACGCCCTGGAGAAGACCCCAACAAAAGGCCCCGAAACGGCCCGAGAGCCCCCTGGACGGTTCAAGAGCGCAAAGAAAAAAGGCCCCCTGACAATGCTCCAATGCCCGCCGAGACGTCCCCAAGACGGTATACCGAGCATCCGAAGTATAACCATCGCGCCTGAGACGGCCCCAAGACCTCCCACGGGCCCCCAACACACCCCCAAGAAGCCCCCAAGAGGTGCACCCGAGAAGTCGCCAACAAACCTCCAATGCCCCATGAACATGCACCGCGGCAGCCGCGTAACGGCACGGCTGCGCCACGGTGCAGCATCCCAGGGCCGTTTCCTGGACGACCCCAAGATGGTTCTACTCCTGCATCCTCCCTTCCTCCTCCTTGCCCACTGCGCAATCACATCAGGGCAACCGCCCTCTTCCCTCCGATTCCTCACTCTCACAGCAAGGTGATTTGAGACACTGGAAACTCAAGATCGGCCGCCCCGAGTGCGGAGGACACATTAGCAACGTTGGGCTTTCTGGCACTGCTTGGTTTTCCCAACCATCCTGTGGTGTTGGGTCCTCGTTTTGAAGAGACGTCGCCCTGCGTTCCTTCTCCTCCTCCTCTCCTCTCCTCCTCCCCCTCCTTCCCCCTCCTCCCTGCGTTTCGCCCACCCGGCACAGCGCTTCGTGGCCCCATAGGGAACTCCACCGAAGGACCACTGGCTGCGTTCGCATGGTGGCCTCGGGCCATTTCGGCACACCCCTCACGAGGATCGTGGCCCCATAGGGAGCCCCACCGAAGGCTCCAGTGGCTGCGTTCGCATGGTGGCCTCGGGCCATTTCGGCACACCCCTCACGAGGATCGTGGCCCCATAGGGAACTCCACCGAAAGCTCCAGTCGCTGCGTTCGCATGGTGGCTTCGGGCCATTTCGGCACACCCAGTAGAAGGCTTCGTGGCCCCATGGGGAGCTCCACCGAAGGCTTCAGTGGCTGCGTTCGCATGGCGGCCTCGGGCCATTTCGGCACACTCCTCACAAACATCGTGGCCCCATGGGGAGCTCCACCGAGGGTTCCAGTGGCAGCGTTCGCATGGTGGCGTCGGGCCATGTCGGCACACCCATCACGAGGATCGTGGCCCCATAGAGAGCTCCACCGAAGGCGCCAGTGGCAGCGTGCGCCCGGTGTCATTTCGGCACACCCCTCACGAAGATCGTGGCCCCATAAGAGAGCCCCACCGCAGGCTCCAGTGGCAGCGTTCGCATGGTGGCCTCGGGCCACTTCGGCGCACCCCTCACTAGGATCGTGGCCCCATAGGGAGCCCCACCGAGGGCTCCAGTGGCAGCGTTCGCGCGGCGGCCTGGGGCCATTTCGGCGCACCCCTCTCGAGGATCGTGGCCTCCACCGAAGGCTCCAGTGGCAGGGTTCGCATGGTGGCCTCGGGCCATTTCGGCACACCCCTCACGAGGATCGTGGCCCCATAGGGAGTTCCACCGACAGCTCCAGTGGCAGCGTTCGCATGGCGGCCTCGGGCCATTTCGGCACACCCCTCACGAGGATCGTGGCCCCATTACGAAGCTCCACCGAAGGCGCCAGTGGCAGCGTTCGCATGGCGGCCTCGTGCCATGTCGGCACACCTCTCACAAGGATCGTGGCGTCATAGGAGCTGCACCGAAGGCCCCAGTGGCAGCCTCCCTCATGGCTCCCAGAGCCCTCTCCTGCTTCCGCTCCTCGGTCAGGGGGGCGCCGTCCTCGTCGTCGTCGGCGCCCGCGAAATCGGCCACGAACGTGTCCCTGAGCATGTCGGGCCCCGGCGGGAAATTGTGGCCACATCGGGAGCGCGGGCGAAGATGTAATTCACAACTGCGGTAGTCACAACTGCGTATGGTTGGGTCTCTCGCCAGGCAAATTTCTTGCTTTTCCCAACCATCATGTGGTGTTGGGTCCTCGTTTTGAAGAGACGTCGCCCCGCGTTCTCCTCCTCTCCTCTCCTCCTCCCACTCCTTCCCCCTCCCGTCACTCCTCCCTCCTCCCTGCGTTTCACCCACCCAGTGCAACGTTTCGTGGCCCCATAGGGAGCTCCACCGAAGGCGCCAGTGGCAGCGTTCGCATGGCGGCCCCGGGCCATTTCGGCACACCCCTCACGAGGATCGTGGCCCCATAGGGAACTCCACCGAAGGCTCCGGTGGCAGCGTTCGCATGGCGGCCTGGGGCAATTTCGGCACACCCCTCACGAGGATCGTGGCCCCATAGGGAGCTCCACCGAAGGCGCCAGTGGCAGCGTTCGCATGGCGGCCTCGGGCCATTTCGGCACACCCCTCACGAGGATCGTGGCCTCATAAGGGAGCTCCACCGAAGGCGCCAATGGCAGCGTTCGCATGGCGGCCTCGGGCCATTTCGGCACACCCCTCACGAGGATCGTGGCCCCATTACGAAGCTCCACCGAAGGCGCCAGTGGCAGCGTTCGCATGGCGGCCTCGGGCCATGTCGGCACACCTCTCACGAGGATCGTGGCCCCATAGGGAGCTCCACCGCAAGCTCCAGTGGCAGCGTTCGCATGGCGGCCTCGGGCCATTTCGGCGCACCCCTCACGAGGATTGTGGCCCCATAGGGAACTCCACCGAAGGCGTCCGTGGCAGCGTTCGCACGGCGGCCTCGGGCCATTTCGGCACACCCCTCACGAGGATCGTGGCCCCATAAGGGAGCTCCACCGAAAGCGCCAGTGGCAACGTTCGCATGGCGGCCTCGGGCCATTTCGGCATACCCCTCACGAGGATCGTGGCCCCATAGGGAGCTCCACCGAAGGCGCCAGTGGCAGCGTTCGCACGGCGGCCTCGGGCCATTTCGGCACACCCCTCACTAGGACAGTGGCCCCGTAGGGAGCTCCACCGAAGGCCCCCAGTGGCAGGGTTCGCATGGCGGTTTCGGGTCATTTCGGCACACCCCTCACGAGGATCGTGGCCCCATAAGGAGCTCCACCGAAGGCGCCAGTGGCAGGGTTCGCATGGCGGTCTCGGGCCATTTCGGCACACCTCTCACGAGGATCGTGGCCCCATAGGGAGCTCCACCGAAGGCGCCAGTGGCAGCGTTCGCATGGCGGCCCCGGGCCACTGCGGCACACCCCTCACGAGGATCGTGGCCCCATAGTTGTGCTGCTTCAACAACCGCGCCTGGGCGTCGTACTCCGCCTTGTCGACGTGCAACGCCACCTCCTCTCTCATGGCTCTCAAGGCCCTCTCCTCTCCTTCTGCTCCTCGGTTATAGGGACGCCGTCCTTGTCGTCGTCGGCGCCCGCGAAGACGGCCACGAACGTGTCCCTGAGCATGTCGGGCTCCGGCGGGGAATTGTGGCCACATAGGGAGCGCGGGCGAAGATGGTATTCACAATTGCGGTATTCACAACTGCATATGGTTGGGTCCTTCGCCAGGCTAATTATCTTGGGTTCCTGGGCGCCCTCCTGCTTGATGCTGTTGGCCTTCTGAAGGCTAGGTCCCGCAGGGACCTATCTGTCTGGGGGCAGCGCGGCCGCCAGGGGTGGTCGAGCGTGCGGCGATCGACCTTTCTAAGCCGATGCGACTCAAGGCCTGCGCCGAGCCAGTACAACAGCGGTCAGGCCACTGAGCGAGGAAGGAATGGTGAAGAAAGGGGAAGGGCTCGGCACAGAACGGGGGGCCCTCAAGGATCCCGAGGCGGGCACATCGGCGCCCAGTATCTGGCCCTGGACAAACAGGGCAGGCCCAGGGTCAAAATATATGCATGATGCATGTAGCTGCTAGCGTGCTGCAAGCTTTACACCCAGACGCCTCCCAGGGTCCAAACGCACCAATGTTTTGAGCTGCGTCCAGCCGTGACGACGAGGAGGCCGCCGGAAGGCCAAATACCAATCTCTTGTCTTAAACAGCCATCCGCTGACACTCTCCCTGCTTCCCCCGGCAGATGAGCAGCGGAAGCACACGGATTATCCAGATGGACTTGGGCTCGCCGCAGCGCCCGCCTCCTCCTCCTCCTCCTCCACCTCCTCCTCCGCATGCTCCTCCGCATGCTCCTCCTGCCTGCCTCTTCCTCCTGCTACTTCTGCTCCTCATCCTCCTGCTGTTGCTCCTCCTCCTCCTCCTCCTCCTCCTTCTCCTCCTCCTTCTCCCATCGCGGCGCATGCTGAAACCACGTGGCCCGACAGATGATGCTTTCTCTCAGGTAACTGATACATCGTCACTCCAGGTGAACGCGCGCGACTGGCTGCAGTCGGAGAGCGAGCTTCTGTTCCCACAGCTTCGCATACGCGCCAGCCCCAGCAGATGCAGGGGGCGAATTGGGCTTCAGAACGTACTTACCACTGCATCTGAGATGGTATGGGTTGGCGATCAAGCTGCGGTGCCTACTTCGTCAGGAGGTGACCCGGGCCGAACTTGGACAGCAGGTCAAGAACGGCAAATATTCTCAGGATCGTTTCGTCGGGCGCAATGCCCGTCAAGACCAGGCTCTCCACGAGGAAAATCGTCCCCCAACCCATGATGAGCAGGTCCCCGGTGCCCATCACCCGATCCTGGACCGCCTGTGGGTAAACCAAGAAGTGCCGATACCGCTACTCCACAGACCTCTCCTCCTCCTCCTCCTCCTCTCCTCCTCCTTCCTCTCCTCCTCCTCCTCCTCCTCATCCTCCTCCTCCTCCTCCTCCCTCCTCCTCCCCCCCCTCCATTCCACTCCTCCTCTCCTCTCCTCCTCCTTCCTCCTCCTCCTCCTCCTCCTCCTCCTCCTCCTCTCCTCCTCCCTCCACTTCCTCCTCCCCTCCTCCTCCTCCTCCTCCTCATCCTCCTCCTCCTCCTCATCCTCCTCCTCCTCCTCCTCCTCCCCCCCCTCCACTTCCTCATCCTCCACTTCCTCCTCCTCCTCTTCCTCCTCCTCCTCCTCCTCCTCCAGGCGTTCTAACCAGGGCTCCGAGGCGAAACCAGCGGTGGCGAGGAGGGCACCCCAGGAAGCCGAACAGGGGGGAGAGACGGGCGAATGGTAGCGGTATGGGTATGCTTCCTCCTCTGAGCCTGCGGGCTCGCGCTGACGTCCAGGTTGCACAGCTCCTTTGAAGGGGCCCCAGGACACGCAAATGAATACACACAAAGAAAAGTATTCCCATATGTTCCTATATTTTCTGGGTTTCTGTCTCCCCCCCACTTCCCATATTTTCCCATATTTTCTGGGGGATCGAAATCTTTTGGGTCTGTGTGTTTCTTTTCCTCCTGATCCTTGGACAGCATCACGAGGCCCGCGAAGCTGGCCCCCAGGCCGTACACCTGGTACGCGGGGACCGTCATCATGACGATGGCGCCTGCGGTCTTCACGGTAGCCCACGCAGCCGCGGGCGCCATGCTCCTCAGGTCGGACTGGGTCTTCGACCACAAGGCGGTGAGCTGCAGGGGGACCACCAGGATGTCCTGCCGGGGAGACGCAGGACTCGGGTTCGGGGGACTCGGGTTGGCCTGGCGGGAACACCACAAAAACGGCGCGACCCAGCCCGAAATTCGACGCGAGCTCCCGCCGCGGACGCTCCACGAAAACTGGACCGCCAACATCCAGCATGCGCTCGCCAAAAAGCACCCGGCGAAGCCGAGCTCCGGCCCGCTCGAGCCTTCGCGCCCCCCCGATCCTGGAGGATCGGCCAGACGAGGCACGGGTGCGCGAAGCAGCCCTCCGGCAGGGGCACCACGAAGGGCCCCGCCAGGGCCATCGCGCCTAGAGGGAAGAGAACTATGCACATGCACCGACTCTGGCCAGGCCCATCCTGAGCCCAGGATCGGTGCATACGCCCCCCCTACCTTGGCCAGGAAGGCACATGCACCGATCCTGGGTCAAGGATGGGCCTTGCCAGGATCAGTGCATGTGCATAGTTCTCTTCGCCCGAGCGCCGTGGAAGGCGCAGGACGTGCCCATGGACAGTGCCGCGGCCCACCGCACCCGGTCGTTGCCGCCCGCGGGCCGGGAGAGGACCTGCACGGGCCGAGGCATGAGGAAGAGCTGCACGGGCACGGGCCCTCGGAGCTCCGCGGGGGCCGCTCGGGTCGGCGCCGCCAGGGGGCTCGATCTCCCCCCTCGCCGTCTTCGTCCTCGCCCTCGCCCTCGCCGTCGCCGTCGTCGTCGTCGACGACGTCGTCGTCGACGGCGTCGTCCTCGTCGTCGTCTTCGTCCAGCGCCGATCCAGGAAGTCCCGCGCGGTGCTCCGAAAACCTGTGCTCGTGCCGCTGTTTCTTCCTCGGATGGTCATGCAGCCCAGGATCCCGGAGGTCACCTCGGGCTGGACAAAAGGGGGGGCACCAAGGGGGGAATTCGCATCGACATGTCGAGCCTTTCGCCCCAAGATGGCTCCAATCGACCCCCAGAGGCCCCCGAGGCGCCCCCAAGAGGCCTCCACGAGGCCCCCATAAGCAGCCCTCGAGGAGCCCGCAGGGAGTAATGAGCGAAGAGCCCCCCAGCTGCCCCCCAAGAGCCCTCGGAGAGGCCCAGCCTGGGGGGGGAGTCGGCGGAAGGGCGTCGGCCACTTGGATCAAGGAGCGGCTTGGGAATGAATTCGCGTAGCTGATTTCTCTGGCGCCGCCCATCGCCGGAAGCGCCAGTGCATCGAGGAAGGCGACAAGCGGCGGTGCAGAAACCAACTGCGTGCATCAGATGTCGTGACACCCCCTGCCCCTGTCCCCCCTGACCCCGGATCCGCCGCTGCCTGATTCTCCCACTTGAGATGGCGGCGGGAATGCACCCCAAAGGATGCGAAAAAGCGGGGCGCACATGTCCGTCACAGAAGAACAGGGCGGACAAGCCCGCAGAGAGAGATGGCGGAGGAGGAGGAGGAGGAGGAGGAGGAGGAGGAGGAGGAGGAGGAGGAGGAGGAGGAGGAGGAGGAGGAGGAGGAGGAGGAGGAGGAGAGGGAGGTAGGAGGAGGAGGAGGAGGAGGAGGAGAAGGAGGAGGAGGAGGAGAAGGGGAGGAGGAGGAGGAAGAGGAGAAGGAGGAGGAGGAGGACGGGAGCAGCGACGGCGAAAAGCCGGGCGGAGCGCGACGCCCACGGAGCCGGAACCGCAGGGCCGAACTCTCCGCCCGGCCCGCGGAGGCGCCCGGCAGGCGCGGCGGAGCTGGAGTCAGGGGGAGGGGGCATAGTGGCGAGGCCCACGCTCCCAGGGGCCGCATGCTCTTCCGCACTTCTGCCACCTCCTCGTCCGCACCGGCGGCCGCCTCACTTCGTCTGCCAGGGCCCAAGTCGGCGTTTTTATACTGTTCCTTGGGGCCTCGCACTGTCTCTCCAGGACGCAGCAATCCCCGCGCTTCATCCTGCCATCGCTCGCACGGCCACACCACGTGCGCTTTTCGTGTTGGTGCGTGTGTCTTTGGCTCGATGATCCAGGATGCTCCTGGAGGGTCCTCGGGGGAAAAATGCACACGTCCGAGCGGTGCCAAGTCATGTCTGGTTGAGTCTGTTCAACGTCAGGAGTGGCGAGGCCTGGCGACGGCGGCGCGGCACGGCCCCCGCTCGAAGAGGCGCCGTGCGCGTCAGGAGAGCGGCGCCTCCCCTGGGGAGCTCCGTCGGGGAAGCGTGAAGCTCGAGCTTGCTGGAAGCCGCTTTTCGAGGCCTCCTAGATGGGGGGGCCGGAGGATCGCGCCGCATCGCCGATGCATCGGCGATGCATCGGCGATGTATCGGCGATGCACCGGCAATGCATCGGCGACGTCGGCGATGCATCGGCGACGTCCGCGTGGGGAAACACGGGCTCCGCATCGAGTCGCATCGCCGATGCATCGGCGATGCGGCGCGATCCTCCGACCCCACCTGCTCCGACCCCGTCTGGGGGGGCCCAGAGCTTTCGGACTCGACGGCGCGCCCGGGGCGGGCAACGAGAAGGAGGAGGCCTTCTCGGAGCGCGGCGGGGCCTCCCAGAGGCCCTCCGGCCCTCTGGGTTAACCCAGACCTCCAGCTGCTCCAATGGATTTGGAGCGTGGGCCCCGGAGGTCCGCACCACTTCCCCGGGGCCGGTTCGTCGTCCCCTGGGTCGTGTTCTGACGCTCCCGAGGCCCGGCGAGGGGCCCCCCGAGGCCGAACACGGCAAGCATCCGCCTGCCCCACTTTGTGCTGGAGCGTCTGACTACCTACCAGACCACCCCAACCCAACCCGAAGACCCGAATTTGACCCGAATTTCGGGTTGGGGGGGGTACGGATTCCATGTGTTTTCTCAACGTTCCGCGACCCCCCCCCACTGGAAATCGAGGATAAACTGAGGCCTTCGGGTTGGGTTGGGGTGGTTTGGTGGGCGGTGAGCGTCGGATCTCAGGGAAGTGTCCTGCGTCCTCGGGAGGGCCCCGGGAAGCCTCTCGGAAGGCCCGAGCCTCCTCGGCAGGCCCGCCCCTTGCTCACTGCCACCCGGGCGCGGCCGGCGACCCACGCACCCGTAGCATGTAGGGAGGCAGGTCCTGAAGGAAACGGGTCCTGGACCCCGGGGCCTCCCGGAGTCGTTGCCTGACGCTCTGCAGGGCCCGGGGGGGGGCCTGGAGGAGTCGGAAGCGGGGAGACACCTCGGGACCCCAGGGCCCGTTTCCCTCAGGACCCCTTCCCTTCATGGCGAGTCCCCAAGAAGAGGAGGAGGAGGAGGAGGAGGAGGAGGAGGAGGAGGAGGAGGGACGAGGAGGAGGAGGAGGAGGAGGAAGAGGCGGAGGAAGAGGCGGAGGAGGGGGAGGAGGAGGAGGAGGAGGGAGGAGGAGGAGGAGTGAGGAGGACGAGGAGGAGGAGGAGGAGGCGGAGGAAGAGGAGGAGGAGGAGGAGGAGGAGGAGGAGGAGGAGGAGGAGGAGGAGGAGGAGGAGGAGGAGGAGGAGAGATGGGGAAGGAAGAGAGATGGGGAAGGAGGAGAGCGGAGGAGGAGGAGGAGGAGGAGGAGGAGGAGGAGGAGGAGGAGGAGGGCAGGTGTCTGCGCCCGAGCGATTGGGGTGCGTCCGCCCTACCACTCTTGGCGACGCCCAGGGGTGGCGCCCGCCGCGGCATGGCGGACGTGGAGCCCGCGATGAAGCACCGGCACCGTTACAAGGCGACGAGCGGCTACGAGACCGAGATCGGGCGCTCAAGGCCTAGGCGCCGTGCGGCCATCCGCCGCGTGGGCCACGCAGCGCGGCGGCAACGGCCACCATCATTCGCCGACATCGCCATCCTCCCAGACCCCCGACGTCGTGATTTTTTCACGACGTCGACCCCCAGAGGTCCGGACCCCTTCCCCGGGACCGGTTCTTCGTCCTGAGTCGTTTTTTGACGCTCCCGAGGCCCGGCGAGGGCCTCCAGAGGGCGAAAATCGCGAAAAACCTCCCGTCGTGATTTTTTCACGACGCGAGGAGGTCTGGGCTCGCTGTTTCTTGCCATATGCATTCGCCCACACAGCAGCACACAACACAGCAGCTTACCCACCGACCAGCAGACCCACAGACCACCGACTGACTGGCCGACCCACTGACCAGCAGGCCACAGTACACCGACCAGCAGACCACCAACTAGTGACCACCCGCCGACTCCAACTCCCACCCTACCTACCAACCCAGACCTCCTCGCGTCGTGAAAAAATCACGACGGGAGGTTTTTCGCGATTTTCGCCCTCTGGAGGCCCTCGCCGGGCCTCGGGAGCGTCAAAAAACGACTCAGGACGAAGAACCGGTCCCGGGGAAGGGGTCCGGACCTCTGGGGGTCGACGTCGTGAAAAAATCACGACGTCGGGGGTCTGGGAAGCACGCCGCCGTTGTGGCTTGTACCGCCCCCTCCAGCGTATGGTGCGCCACGCATCCATTCACCTGCGGTGCCGCCTCCGCCGTCACGGACTTCAGGGGGCTTGCACGATGACAACGAGACTGACACTCAAGACATGCACGACACACACGCGACCATCGACCAGCAGGCTGCAGACCTCTGACTGGCAACGCACCCACACCAGCGCAGACATCGGCATCGGCGCCAGCACCTGCACCAGCACCGCCACTCGCACCGGCCTCCACGACCGCACGGACGCCACCTTTCCTGCGCGGCCAACGACGGGCAGCACGACCCCGACGGGTCCGATTCGCCGACCACCCGCACGATCCACTAATCCGAAGACCCAACCCGCGATCCACCCGCGCCAGCAGACAGCCGTGAAGCAGACCAACGTCCAGCGGAACCGATCAGCACACAAGCAACACGACAGCCACCACGACAGCCACTAGGATTGCCACCACGACAGTCATTACGACGGACACAAAGACGGCCACCACGACTGCCACCAAGCACCACGACAGCCACTACGGCAACCACCAAGCGCCACGAAAACGTTCACGACAACCACCAACCACCACGACGGGCACCGCGACAGCTATTACGACAGCTATTACAAACACCGACTCCAGCAGCACCATCTGTTCCAGCATCAGCGGCGCCGACTCAAGCAGCACCACCAACTTCAGCAACACCACCGAGCCCAGCTGCACCACAGAGACTCAAGCAGCACCATCGACTCTGGCAGAAGCGCTGCCGACCCCAACAGCAGCAACGCCACCGACTCCAGCAGCAGCGCTACCGATGCCAGTAGCAGCGCCTTCTCCAGCAACACCATCGGCCTCATCAGCACCACCGAAACTGACACCAAAGACTCCAACATCAGCGCTACCGACTCCGGCACTACCGCCTCTAGCAGCACCACCGACCTAGCGGCACCACCTACCCCAGCAGCACCGCCGGCTCCGGCATCAGCGCCGCCGACTCCAGCAGCACCACTGACTTCGGCAGCAGCGCTGCCGACTCCGGTGCCACCGACTACGGCGGCGCCGCCGACCCAAGCAACACCGCTGACTCCAGCAGCACCACCGACTGGCAGCAGCACAGCCGACTCCAGCAGCACCGCCGACTCCAGCAGCGTCGCCGATTCCAGCACCGCAGACTC